GGAAACTCTCACCCCATATTATCTCTAGATTGTTTTTGCTGGTTTACGTAGAAATGTGTGCTTCATATTTATCTTGTAACCAGCCATTTTACTATTTCTGATATATATATATATATATATATATATATATATATATTAGTTTTTTAATTTATGTGAATTGGTGTTTTGCCTGCATGCATGTCTGTATGAGGGTGTCAGGTCTCCTGGCACTAGAGTTACAGACAGTGGTGAGCTGCCATGTGGGTGCTGGGAATTGAACCCAGGTCCTCTGGAAGAGCAGCCAGTGCTCTTAACCACTGAGCCATCTCTCCGGCCCTATTTCTGATAATTTTTTCCATTGGCTTCTTTTTGTTCTTTCGGTCGTTTCCCTCATGCCTGGGAAGACTGGAGTATGGCATGAATGAAGTACAGATGCTTTTTGGTGTGTTTGTTTGTTTTTTTATTTTAATAAGCTGAAAATGAAAGACGAGGGAGTCCTCTCCCTAGGACTGATAAGGCCTGGACTTGGAGTAGCTGTTTCTTCTGGATGGAATGCTGCCCATCAGGCTGGTAACGGATCCTGGCTGACACCCACGGACACACGGGTAGCCACAGAGTGGTTCAACTGCGTCACGTGATCTGACGTTGCCTCCTCAGAGAGGAGTTGGGTCCTGCTGGTTGATCAATCCATCTGAGTGTGGATTCTCACCCTTTCCACTATACACCTAAAGCCTGTATCATGTTTTTCATCTAACTCCTCTTCTTTTTCCTCTACACTCTGAGGTCACAGCCTTTTCTTTCTCGTTCTTCTTATGCTAGGGTTTCTAAACTGGGTTGTGGCACATGGGCTCGTCACTGGAGACATAAGGAGTACCTGCCCTGTGAAATTTCTGATATAACCTCCCATGTCATTGAGGAAGTCGTCAAATCCCTCTTGTAACCCTCCGGTGGTTTAAACCCTCGCGCCTTCTAATTCCACCCGGCTCTTGCTAGGATTGCTCTCTGCCTGCGGCTCTGTGCCTGTGAGCTATGCCCACACTGCGCAGCCTTTACCCAGCATGCCATCTTTGTCTAACTCAAAACAAAGCCTCTATTCAACCTGTAATTATCCTCACCCACCTCGTGTATCGTTGCTATACTCTTAAATCCCAGCCTCTCCATGTCTCTATCTTTTAATCCAGTTTAAACTCTTATTTTATTGTTTACACTCAGAGGAGTACTCTTTGGCCCAGACTTGAGGAAAACAGCAATTAACAAACCATTTTACTTTTAAGTCTATTGTTTTTCAAAGAACAAAACAAAACAAAACAAAACAAAACAAAAAACCAAAAGCAGTATAAGGGCAGAAACATAATTGTAGCTAACAAGCTTATGCTTGTATGAATGTATTAGCCTAAATTCCTGTAATTGTCTTCATTACTACTTATGGAAGTAATCGTTTGATGAATTAAAAATATCATAAGTGGGAGACATCTTGGTGGGTAAAGTTCTTGCCTTATAAGCACGAGGACCTGACTTCAGTCCCTAGCGTCTTCCTACAAAAAGTTCCAAGTGGAGGTGTATGCTGGAGGAGGTGGCAAAGATAGACCTTGTCTCAAAAAATAAGGTGGATAGCTCCTGAGGAATGAGTGAGGTTGACCACTTCACACACACACACACACACACACACACACACACACACATATGTATACACATGTGTATATATAAGTTGTGAGGAAAAGAGAGAAGCTTCTGGTGGACAGAGGGAGCAGGCACAGTGTGTAGAAGCCCTTGTAAAATTGTTATTTTGATTGGTGACCAGCATTAGCTGTCACGAACTAATTAGTTAAATGAAATAATAGCTCTGAGAGCTGGTGTGAATGATGTGAAAGAGACTTCTTAGAGGAATTTGTCAGGAGTCATTTGGATGAACATGAAAACATGTCTACGTATGGATACTGTCTTTTTGTTCCTGTGACAACCCACCACGACCAAGGCAACTTAGAAAGAAAGCATGCAACTGGGATTACAGTGTCGAAGGGTTAGGGTTCGTGCACAATGGTGGAGCAAAGTTACAGCAACAGAAACAGCTGAGAGTTTACGTCTTGGGCTGCAAGTGAGAGAGACAGAGAGAGAGAGAGAGAGAGAGAGAGAGAGAGAGAGAGAGAGAGAGAGAGAGAGAGAGAGAGAGAGAGCTAGAGCTCACAGGGAATGAGTGTGTGCATGTATCTTTTGAAACCTCAAAGCTCACTCCCAGTGATCTCCTCTAACCAGGCCACACCTCCCAATCCTTCCCAAACAGTTGCACCAATTGGGGACCACACATTCAAACATCTGAGCCTATGGGGCCATGCGAACCACCACAGACACTTATTTTATTTCTGTGTTGTAGAAGTTGTCCTTTGGTGCACACAGGGCATCCTAGATGCAGAGGAGGTTCTCAGTTAATTGCTGAGAGGCTCTGATCACCCATTCCCAAGCCTCCTATGGAGTCACTTTAGATACAGCAGGTGTTATTCTGAAATATATGCAGAATCATAGAGCCTTCCTCTTCTTCGGTCACAGTAGTTTGCTGTTTCCTTACAAGTAAACCTACTCTTAAGAATGACTTCTAAAAGGTCAGTCTGTCTGAGCGGGAAGGGACCTGAAGATTCGTCTGCTGCAGCCTTTCATTTTATAGACGAGGAAACAGAGACTTATATTTAGGACATATAAGTGGCTCGGAGATGAGTTCATACTTCCTAGATGGAGTAAGTGTCCCATAAATGTGAGCTGTCACTCCTGTCATGACTTTTGGTGGCAGATCTGGACAGACACCTGAAGGGACTCTGGCCAGCTTGAACATGGCGAGCATGGCAAGCCTGGCTCTGGCAGGCCTTGCCCTTCTCCCCTCTTCCCTCTGCCTTGCTAAAAACCGTTAGATTGTAGTCCTAAAGCTAGCCACCAAGGTCTACTCCCTTATCTGGGCACTTCCTCCTCTGGAGGCTGACTACCAAAGTCCAGTAATCAAAAGCCCCCTTTGGCTCACCTAATTAACATGCCCAATTAAGATTAAACACCTCATCCTAACCTGGGGTTTCCCGTTTTACCTTCATACACCGCCATTTGCTTATGAGCCATGCCTGTCTCCCTCTATCCAGATGCAGTCCTTTGTCCTCTGGGACAAACGTCCCTCCCCCTATCCATTGTCCCTCCCCCTTCTCTTTTGTCCCTTATCTCCTTTACCACTGTACCCTAGCCCACCCTAACCCAGACCTCCCCTTTTTTTCTTCAGAATGACACCTGCAAGGTCATTGGCTGCTTTTTTCATGCCCAAGTCAGAAAGCAGCCGCTTGAACTTTTCTTCCCCTTAGTAAAGGATCTCTCTGTGAAAACAGGTGTTTGGGTGTGGTATGCGCCTAATCTGGGCTCCGGGAGGAAGCCCCCCCGCTGTTCTGGAACCTCCTTCAACAGCCAGGTGTCCTAATCCAGCACTCTGGTGGGTATGGAGCTCCTTGCACGACCCTTGTTTCTGGGAACCTGACTAGAGTGATAAAGGGATAAAGAAAGGACAGACACACAGGTGAATGGAAAAGTTGGAATCCGGCGTGCCACGCTTCCTGTGGTGGCGGGGTACCAGCTCCTCAACAACCTGGAACCCCGCCATGCTTGTTATGTACAGCACAGAGGCAAGGAGTGAGTTAGTCTCGGTAGGAGTCCTCTGTTAGGGGAGCAGTCTCAGGCTGTGAACATCCTGGAGGAGGAAGCTGCTAGACACTGTCTGTACACATGATCAGCATCTCCAAGCAGACCAGAAGAAGGCTTTGCCCATTCCCATGGGTCTGTGGCATTGGTCCTTATCAATAATACACATGTGCTCACGTCTTCCTCCGCTCCCCATGACAAAGTGCCTATTTCCTACTTTAATAGGGGAGAATGCATTTTAAAAATCTGAGTTACAGTAACACTTTAGTGATAGTCACGGTTCCCAACGCCGAGCACCCGGTGCTGACTTCTAGGCTCAGTTCTGCATATTTGTGGTTTAACTTAATCAATTTAGTCTTCACAGTGCCCCGTGACTTTCATATTTTTGACAATCTCATTTTACACAAGTTAGTGAAACCTGCCTGTGACGACACCGCCATCCATGGACTCTGCTAGGTCTAAACCTTGCTCTGACGTCCAAGTTTGTGTTCTTAATATTTTAAATTAAAATGTATTTTTATTGTGTTTTTGGGTGTGATGTAGAATGTGTGTGTGTGTGTGTGTGTGTGTGTGTGTGTGTGTGTGTGTGTGTGTGTGTGCGTGCGCTCATGCAGGTGCCTGTGTGCCAGGGCACACATATGGAGGTCAGAGGACAACTTTCGGCAGTCAGGTCTCTCCATCCATTGTGGGAATCTGGGGATTGAACTTGGGTTGCTAGTTTTGTGTGGCAAGTGTTTTTATCCTTTGGGCCATCTTGATGACCCTATGCCTTTTTAAATAGATTTAAAAATTCAAAATAATACTGTTTCATAGTACATTAGAATTGCATGAGATCCAAAGATCGTTCTCCACAAAGAAAGCATTATTGGGACACAGCCACACTCATTTGTCTATATATTGTTGATAGGATGGCAGAATTGATTGTTGCTGCAGGGACCACACAGCTGGCCGAGCTGCAGCATTTACTATCTGGCCTTTATGGGCAATGCTTGCCGGTTCATTTCTGTATTTCTCCCTAATGACCCACACTTTAAAAAAATTCCATTAGAGCATAATCGTGTGTGTTTAATAGGGCTTGTCTTTTACATGCAGCTTAGTTGGGTAGTTTTGATGGACAGGTCCACCAGGTGCTGAATCTAAAGGTTTCCCTTAAATGGCCTGTGTCTTGTCTTTCTCAGTAGACTGAAGGATTTCTTTGTTTTTCTGTTTTGCTGGATGTTGTTTTGAGACCTGACCACGGCCTGCTTTGCCCCGACGGTAGGCCTGAGGTTTCCATGCTCCTCTCAGCCATTAATTGAGCTGTTTGTAAAGCTCTAGCATGTGGATGCAGAAATCACTCTGTCTTCTTTCCTTTGCAGTGGTTTGCTGTCTTCTGACTACGTGGAGATTCACTATGAAAATGGGAAACCGATGTACTCCAAGGTATAGTACAGTGGCCAGACCTCCTGCAGCATAAAGTATATCCATCAGAGAACTGATCAACACACACTGCATTGTTCTGAGGTCTGTCAATAAGACCACCCAGCCTCCTATGCAAGGGAACTGATTTACTGAGGAAGAATTCACTAGAACTTAAAATGCCGAGGCAACATTAGATTCTGTATACTCAGGACCATAAGGGAATTTTATTTTTTCGATTTTACATTCATTTCCATATTGAATGATCAGATGAGCGTCACTGTTCCATACCAGCACCATAAATACCATTAAGGTATCCCTTTTCTAAAGTACTTGGGACCGGAAGTCTTTTGGCTTTAATTTTTAAAAAAAATGCGTATGCAAAATAGTGTTCGGAGACGAGTTCTAGTTTAAACATAAAATTCATTTATGCTTCACCTACTCCGGAGACACACAGCTAAGGTAATTTTGTACCTTTTCGATAATTTTGTTTATGAAACAGTTTTGTGGTATGGAATTTTCCATGACCACTGCAAAGCTGGTGCTCGGGGGAGACTTTTGATTAGGGATGCTCAGCCAGGCTTTCACGGCCATGGAATCAGAATTAAAAGACTGTGTGAACTCTTACAGGGACAGTTTAGTGCCAGCGACTGATGGCCAAGGGCGGAAGACAGGTGGGAGAATGAGATCGAGGGGGCTGATCTTCTTTTTCTCCCCAATTTTGAGGCTGTGTAACCCAGGTTGGCCTCAAACTCGAGGTTCACTTACCCTAGTCTCCTGAACGCTGAGATTATAGGCACACACTCTCATACCCAGCTTTATTTCATTATTTTATTTAATTTTTCTTGCGGGGGGGGGGGGGGAACCAAACTCAGGACCTTGGGCATGCTAGACAACGCTCTACCTCTGAGCCGTTCGTAGCCCCAGCCGGTCTCCACTTAACCATCACAACAGGTCCGTGAGGTGGGTGTTCTTAATTCCTGTGGTAAAGCGAAAGACACAGAGGCAGAGAGAAGGCAACAAACCCGCTCAGGGCCACCACAGGCTGTAACCTGAAGGTAACGGGGCACCTGGAATTCTTCAGGTGGAGGTGATCTTTTCTTCTGACCGTGAAGGACCAATAAAGAGCAAATGGAGTTGAACGAAAGCAGGAGAGAGATTACCGGGTAGTACGCGCGCTAACCGGGTAGTGCGCGCTTTACAGTGATTTCCACGAGTCAGGCAGAAAAACCATGAAATTGGGTACAGACAAGAAATCATGACTTGTAGTGGCTGTCCCAGTGCCACCGAGGCTCAGTAGTGCTCATGTAAACCACAGGAATTGGGGAACAAGCAAGAAGCAAGCAATGGGTCAGGGTGGGAGGGTGGGACATAGAATTTGTATTGTGCAGATGGGTAATCAATGCCAGCGTAGTGGCGGCACCTTTCATGTGCAGACCCGTGGAGATGTGAGGCGGGGAGACCTGGGATTCCCAGGCCGTGTCCTCTCAGCACACACTTATGGGTGGCCATAATTAGAAACACTGCCCATGGCCATGGCGCGTCTTAGGTCTTAGGTCTGTCTAATTAGCACTGGGCACATTTGCAATGTCCTTTGGCCTTTGAGCTGTTTCTACAGACCAGGGACTTCCACGTGTGTGGCTCTTACACTGTCAGCTCTGCCCTCCAGCTGCATCTGGGAGTTTCGAATGCCCCCCCCCCTCCGAGACTAGGGCCATGGCAGGGGACCAGCAGGGCCCACTGAAGCGCGGGAATGGGGCTTGCTGGCCTTTGTGCAAAGCCCTGCTGCTGGCTGCTGCCCCAGTCCTCTGCTCCAGTCCGTGCTGACTCATGAACCTGGAGGAGATCGCACAAGGACTTTTCAGACTCAGCAAATGGGACACCTTTGCAACCTCAGTAACCTGACCCAAACTTCTCTAAAGAAGCTCATGCTTTTTTTTTTTTTTTTAGAAGTACAATAGCTAATTGGCATATATAGAGTTCATTTGAGGTACTGCAAATGAGGCCTTTTTATTAATAAGATATTCCAAACCTCCCGTGGTTGTAACATATTTAAAGCAAAAGCTACATCAACTCTGGCAAAAGAAGCTATGTCCACTGTAGTTTGACTTTGTGTCCACCCCTTTTCTTTCATTTATGACCCGTTTCCTTTAACAGCTCATTTACCCAAATTTACTTGTCCATAGATAATGTATTAATGGTAACACCCTAATGGTCCTATACTGGTTTTTACAAGTACACACACACACACACACACACACACACACACACACACACACACACACATCCTTAAGTCCCAAGAAGAAGCCACACACATTCTGTGCAGGATTTGCAAAATCTAATGATAACAATGCATGAAACCTATATTTTTATTAGCTCATTATTTTAAAAAACTGCATAATGTTCTTCTAACTTATTTGTTATTATTTATTTAAAAATACTAAGCCATAGACGTTTAGTTTGCTTCTAGCCTTCCCTCATGATCGTCCAAAGGAAAAACTTCCCAGGTGTAGGCTAAACACACTGTAATTGCTGAAGGAGTCATTTTAAGAATAAGAGTCTCTGGATCAAAGAGTTGTACTTTATGACTTTTGGTCATAATGACAATTTTTACTTCTGAAATTATACATAATTTTGCCTAAATTCATGTTCCAGTTATACAGATACTCTTAAAAGCATTTTAAAAGTGAACTTTATGAAGATTGGCTTCTGTGATATTTAAGAAAGCTTTTGGGAGGCATACCAGAAAGGGAGGTTAATGTGTAGGAGTGGCAGGGTTTCTACCCATTATGTAAGCTCCTCTGTGGGCTGGAGAGATGGCTCAGTGGTTAAGAGTTTGTACTGCTCTTGCAGAGGACCCGAGTTTGGTTCCCAGCACCTGGGTTGGATGCCTCAGTACTGCTTTGTGACTTTAACTCCAGGGAATCCAAATGTCCTTTTCTGGATTCTACATTCCCATGCACGTTTCCCACCCTGTGGTGATATATTGTGTCCCCCAATATATTGTGCACCCTAATAAACTTATCTGGGGATCAGAGGACAGAGCCAGCAACTAGATTAGACATAGATGCCAGACAGTGGTGGCACACACCCTTAATCCTATCACTCGGGAGGTGAAGATCGGTCTGGATCTCTGTGAGTTCAAGGCCACTGGAAACAGAACCAGGCAGTGGTGGCACACACCTTTAATACCAGAATTTAAGATCTCATGTTTTTTGCTTGGGAAGCACACACCCCTTTAGTCCCAGGAAGTGATGACAGGAAGCAGAAAGGTATATAAGGCATGAGGACCAGGAACTTAGAGGCTTTTAGCAGCAGTTCAACTGAGACCCTCAGGGGTGAGGACTCAGAGGCTTTCAGTCTGAGGAAACAGGATTGGTTGAGGAGTTGGCGAGGTGAGGTTGGATATGGCTTGTCCTATTCTTCTGAACTCCAGATAAGCTTTATTGGGGTGCATAAATAAAATATCACCACTCCATCCCACTTCCCATATATACCTAATTAAAAATATCAAAGATACCTTACTGTTTAGACAAAGGAAGGTATAGACACAAACATTCCTCTCACCCATTGTGGACTGTTATTTGACTAGAGAAGCCTGGAATCATAAATAGCCTATGAGGGCCTTGAGGTAAAATATCGATGTGGATACTTACAATATTTTGGGACTTGGTATGAAAATCCTGATGCATGGGTACCCAGAGTGCACTGTTACAGCTTTCTATCTCCCTATACCAAACAGTCCCTCATTCCCATTCCTAGATGAGGTTAATGTCCCTTATTTCTCCTGAATAAAAGTGGGCTGAATAGAGAAGTAAATATAGGAACCAGAAATACACACACACATACACACACACACACACACACACACACACACACACACACACACAAGAAAAATCATCAAGTTCATGGTCTAGGTGCCAGGTAGATGCTTGCTAATGCACATGGAGCAGCTTCTTTTGTGTGCCCAGCCAAGCAGATTTTATTACAATTCTTTCCACTACTCCTTGCACGGAGTGCAATACAATATACAATAAAGCAACTTTGTTGATTTCATTTTACTCATTTAAAAGACAACTTATTTATGTTTTCTTTGGTTTAAACAGGTTTATTGGGGCATAATTTATATACTGTAAAGTACACAATTAAATTGTTTTTACTATATTTGCAAAATTATGCATCCATTAACATAATCTAATTTTAAAACATTTTTCATCACCCCACAAAGAAATGTCTTATCTATTAGCAGCCATTCCCTAGCGGCTCTCCTTCCCATCATAGGTAACCACTAATCTACTTTTCTGTCTCTATAAATTGCCTATTTGGAACATAAATGGAATCCTATAATATGCGGTCCTTTGTGAGTGGTTTCTTTTTTCCCTGCTTTATTGAAGTATAATTGAAAAATGCAAATTGTGTATTTAAGGTGTGCAACTTGGATTTTATACACAAGAATATTATATAGCTGGGTTGTGCCAAATGTCATGCTTTGACATGTGTACACTGGGGGAATGATCAGCATATTGACACTGATGAACATATCCTGTACTTCCTGTAGTTATTTTTGTTAGTGAGAACATTTAAAATCTACCTCAGAGCAGATTTTAAGGATATATTGTAGTTTCTGTAGTCACTGTGTGGCACTTTCTGTCTCCACAGTCTATTCCACTCACACAGTTGAAGCTTTGTATGCTTTGACCGACATCTCTTCATTTGCCCAATGGGATTTTCCCTCTGTCAACCACTGTTCTACCCCCTGACTCCATGAGCTGACTCTCTCTCATGCTACCTCTGAGGGTCAGAGCAGCATTTGTCTTTCTCTGCTGGAGTATTCCACTTAGTGCAGTGTCCCACCAGGTTGCGTAGAGGCAGGATTTCCCTCCCTCCAAGGCTGGGTGATATTCCATTGTGGACACATTCCTCCATTCATGCATCCATCAGTTTCTCCAGCTTGGCAATGGGAATGATGCTGAGATGAACACACAGTGCAGCTGTCTCTTTGAGACTTAGAGTTCCTTTCTGTT